GGTATGAGAGGTTTTGTTTTCTTTATGTTAAGGGCAATCCATAGTGAAGACTGCCGTCTTTGATCTTCATCAGTAGGTGCTTCAAGCCCTCTTGACCTTTATTGAGCTACCTCTGTCATCTGCATATAAAATGTTATTAATGAGTCTTCCTCCTATTCTAATGTTGCATTCTTTTACATATCACCCACCTTTTTGGATTCTACAACAATCTTTTGGAAAGATACAACCTTGACCCACAACTTTCCTGATTTTAATCCACATAATATCCTGTTATTCTGTTTGAACGACTACTTCTTAGCCTATGAACATGTTCTGCATAAGAAAAATCAATGTTCTGGGATTCCTATTCTTAATGTTACCCATAATTTGTTAAGATCCACACTGTTGAATGACTGTCGTGAATAAAACACAAATATATTTTTGGTATTTTCTGCTTTCAGGCAATATCCATCAGCAATAATTACCCTGGTTCCATGTACCGTTTGGTAATAAACCATGGGTAACATTGAGAAGAATGGGGATTCCAGAACACTTCACTGTGTTCACGTGAAGCCTGCACATGGACCAAGAGGCAGTCAATCAATAAGAACAAGAGTTTAAAATCAGGAAAGGTGTGGGTCAGGCTTGCATTATTTCGCCATACTTACTCAGTTTGTATGCTGAGCAGATAATATGAGAAGCTGAATTCTATGAAGAAAATGTGACATCAGGTTTGGAGGAAAGCTTATTAATAACCACTTATATGCAGATGACATAACCTTGTTTGCAGAAAGAGGGAGGATTTAAAGCACTTGCTGGTAAAGATCAAGAACTTCAGGCTTCAGTCTGGCTTACAACTCAATGTAAAGAAAACTCAAATCTTCACAACCGGACCAAGAGAGGACATCATGATAAATGAGAAAAAATAATGGCATGAAAGACAAGGTGTAAGAAGAAAGCATAAGGTCATATAGGTTTGAATGACCCAAATAGGGAAGGGAGAAGAGACCAGACAGGTAGACTAAAACCAATACGTGATAGGATCCCTAGCCTGGTGAGGTCAGAAAATACCAGTGTGCAGGATAAACACTGAGACCTAAGGGCATCTGAAGCACCAGGAGTTTGCCCTCTGCTTAGGTGTGGCCTCCCCTGAACTCAACTACCTTGTGACCAGAATGACTCCAGAGAACAGGGGCAGGTGGGGGTGGGGAAGCGTTGGGAGGAGGAAATCCAAGGCCCATTGACTCCCATGGGCCAGCCATTTAAAGTACCCTCCTGTGCCCAAGCGAGGATTAATTAAATGGTTACTTATTTAATACTCTAATCAATACAAAGTTCACTCCTTTGTATAGTCCACAAATATTACATGAACTTCTGCTATACTCACCACAGAGTGTATGAGGTTTCACAAGGGGGAGGGTTCTGAGACTGGAACTCTTGTTTATGGGACTAGAATGCCTCATCTTTCTCCCTCAGAGTGACTGGTGGTTTTGAGTTGCTGACCTTGAAGTTAGCATCCTAATGTATAACCACTGTACCACCAAATCTGCTGAGGTGGAATCGACACTTTGGCAGTGAGTTTAGAGTATATAGCAAATATACATATACAGGTCTACAGATAAAACACATACAGACTATTATGCATATCTTGTCAGCAGGGAAGGATATATTTTAATAAACATATTAAGAGTATTAATTGAGAGCTATGAGGGTCACTCACTGCCATCTATTCAACTCTGATTATGATGGAGAGTTATTTTCTTTATGATCTCTTACATGCTTTCTAAAGAGCATACAAGTGTCACTATATGTAGATATATTTCTTACTTACATAGTATATGTGTATAACACACACACAATCCATAAAGGCTTCCAGAGAGTGAGAGAGAGAGAGAGAGAGAGGAAGTATTACATGCAAATAATAACTGTGCACTTTAGTTATCAAGTCAAATTATTAAGGGTTAAACAGATGTTTGCTTATTTTTATAATTTTTGTCTTAGCCTGCACAAAAAGTGAAAAGTTATAGATACATGTAAAGTTTCACAATAAAGCTATTTTTTTTAAAAGAAGATCAGAGTCACATGCAATTATACCATTTCATTGAAAGGACACAAAGCATCCAGCAATTCCACCCATCCATTATCTAGTTCTTAGAAAACAGAAAAGTTCTTAGAAAACAGGAAACGAGTCTATAGAAATATGGTTTCTGGGAAACCTGTGGTTCCAAGTTTTTTCTCTTTAGGACTCTTTTGCAGAGATGGAAAAAAGTCTAGAGAGTATAACAATTGTCACTTGGTAAAGTGACATTGTTGTAATCCATTATTTACTTTGAGATATAAATAAAAACTTAGGACATCCTTGAATTTGAGACAGAACTAAATAGGATGGGGATCAAACAATTGGCTGTGTGGATGCCAGGGCCCTTAGGGTGTCCGAGGCAGTCAGTCTTTACATTAGCAGATAGATCGCCTTGTCTTTCTTCCACAGACTTGCTGGTGGGTTTGACCTGATGGTATACCATCTTATGCTTACTTGAAAGAACCATCAGGGATCCTTTTTTGGGTCAATTGTTTACTATAAGATGCAAATAAAATTCTGACAGTCCTCGAATTTCAGGCAGGTTTGAACAGGATGCCGATCAGACCACTGGACTTCTCACTGTCATGGAGTAGATGCTGACTCAAGGTGACCCCACAGGATAGGGTAGAACTGCCTCTGGGGGTTTCTAAGACTGCAACTCTTTAGAATAGAGAGTGTCATCTTTACCCACTGAGGAGAGGCTGGTCAATTCTAACTGCTGACCTTGTGGTTAGCAGCCTAATGTGTAACCACTACACCATAAGAGCCCCTCCCCCAAATGTAATATTCATTAAAAATAGAAAAACGTATAGGTATCCAAGACATACTTTATACATTTGGGAATTTTAATTCTTAAATTTGAAAATCAAATGCCTTTAAAAATGATGCTATTGACCATTTAAATCTTACATGTTAATAAAATAAAAACATAAAAATAAGTAATATCAATGGAAATACTCTTATTGTCAAAGCTATTATATATGTACTTCTTCTCGAGGATAGTGTCCTTAATAAACATCAACAAGAACAGAAGTGTCAGTTATATCAATTTTATAAAATAAAGCCACTTCCTCATCATTTAAGTTTCAGAAGTAAAGACTGCCAATATTTGAAATTTTATTATTCCTATACACAATGAAAAATCAACATCATTTTAGTACAAACAATCCATTATTATTTGATTAAAGTTAGTCAAGAGAAATCTCTATTTAAATAGAAATACTATGGATTCCACCACATGGGCTTATGCATAACTATCTTACTATAAAATTCCATTTTCTTTGTAGAAATAACAAATTGATATAAATGAGTATACAAATTGGAATTTGCCTCCAACTAGTCTATTTGAAAACTGGCAAAAAGCCAGGTCCTCTCAAGATTAGTCAGTGCTGTTTTGCAAAACTCCTGGGTGCTTGCATGTCCTGGACACTCTCAGTGCCCCAGGATTGCCCAGGCCACCCTCCCAGCTAGGGCTTCTTGGGTAGAGCTTTCTTGTTTCTACCTATTAATAAGCAGTCGAGCCCTGGTGGCGTAGTGGGTTATACTTGGGCTGCTCAACACAGGTCAAGGGTTTGAACCCACCAACCACTCCATGGGAAAAAGATGAGGGTTTTCGCTCTCATAAGGATTTACAGTCTCAAAAACGCACAGGGCAGTTCTACTTTATCTATGGGGCTGCTATGAATCAGAATAGACTTGGGTGACAGCGAATTAGAAGTACCATTTACAGAGCACTTGCTATGTTGTAGGCATTTAATTCCCACCAAAGCCTCACGTGGCAAAATACTATGATACAGAAGGCTTAGGAGGATTAAGTAAGGGACAAAATAAGAAGTAGTAAATCCTACCTTTGGTACTACCTTAAAATAGATTATCCTCAGCTCCAGGGCACTCATTTAATTACTTGTGATTATTATTTTATTCTTTGGTGAGGTCTTAAATCATACAGGAGATCCTTTTCTCTCTTTCTTTTTTTTGATGGGGAATCTTTCTATTGATTTGTGGAAATAAATAAAAGTTTAGCTAAACCCTCAATTACAAAGACCTTTGAAGCATGATGATTCAAGAAAAGGAACCCAATATTTTCACCATAATATGCAGAGGAAGAGGAATGCATAGATTCTTTGCAAAAGGACCCACACCCACCGCCATCTGGTCCATTCCAATTCATAGTTTCTGAGGTTGTAAATCTTTATGGGAGCGGATAGTCTCAGCTTTCTCCCGCAGAGTAGCTGGTGAGTTTGAACCTCCGACATTGCAGTGGGCCATCCAACGATGAAGTGGACAGCACCACCAGGTCATTTTTTGCAAGGGTAAGTCTGGCACAATTCCAGGGAAAGTGTTCAGTGAGCGATTTCCCTTGAGGACTGGGAGAAGGGGTTCAGTAGCCATCTATAACCTTCGTGCTTCTTAAACACCCTGCCCAAATCTTTAACAACCTCCCACCCCCGCCCCCACACTATCTTGATCAGGATATTCAGAGAAAATCTCTAAGAAGAAAAATAATATCTAGTTTCAGGCCACGCTAATAACTGTTGCAAATGGATTCTGCTTTCGAATAACTTGCCCTCAACTTGACCTCAGAGAAGGCGTTAGAAGGGCTCAACCCCCACCCCCAGTTTTCATCTGTTATTTGCCTTGTGGGTATATGCTCAGAAACCAAATAAGATTCACGGGCATTGAGCCCATGCTGACCCGTAGTGAGCCGCTGTGGGTTTCTGTGGCTGTACCTGCTTACAAAAGTCCAAAGCCCTGACTGTCTCCCGCGGAGCTTCTGATGGTCTGATCACAGCCCAACATATAAGCATTACGCCACCAGGGTTCCTTGTGGGTCTCTAAGGAGACTCTTTACCTTAGTTGTGGGGTTAAACGTGCTCAGGAGAATTTGTCCCAGTCGCAATCAGGGTCTGATTACCAGAAGCCAGGGCTCTGCCTCACTCACCTGTGCGGAGGTTGGAGCCCGCGGAGAGGAGGGGCCCACAGGGCTCTGCACCTGGCCTTGCACACCAGCCCTACAAACCCTAGACACTGTTAATTATTACCTTCTTGGCCAGCAGGGAAGTGTTAGAAACCTGAGCCACTCCCTGTGCCTCAGTGCATGTTGGGAGTGTTTACTTTCTTTCCTAAGGGCACCTGATAGGAACACTCCCCTGCTCCCTGACACACATCTTTAGGAGAAGTGGATTGTCCCTCTGGTTAACACTTTCACCACTGAATTGGACTGCCTCTAAAGCCTAATCTCTAGCCTATCCAGGCTAGCAGTGAAACATCTTTAACAAGGACTACATTCTTTATTCTCATGTATTTCTTTTAAAATGTCTTTCAGTTTCAAATTGCTTAATTTCCTTTGTTTGTTTCTTTGGCACTCCAGTTTCTCACCAGCGCATTTTTACTTACAGAGGGATTTTCTCCAAACCAGTTGCTCTCTAGTCATTTTGGATTCAGGCGGTTTGCAGTGTGTCGTAGCAGAACTGTCCGTCAAAGATGTGAACTTTGGGTAGCACATAGCCAGTCCTTTCTTCCAAGGTGTGCTTGAGCCACCTATTCTTTTGATTAGAAT